TCAGGTCACTTCTCCAGAAAAGAAACACAAGGATAGAATTTGCCTCCATTATTCCTCTGGCTCTCCCTGAGTAACTGCCTGAACAGACTGCCAGAAATAATCCATCTTGAGATAACTTTAACTGTCCTGGCTCAGTGCTAGGGAATAAAGGGAACTGTAGTTTATTGTGGCACCAGAGCTCTCTGACAGACAAAGCTCAGTACTTCAGAAAAAACTACAATTCCCATGATTCCCTAGCATTGAGCCAGGACAATTAAAGTGGTCGCAAGATGGATTATTTCTGGCAGTCTGTTCAGGCCCTAACTCTTCAGCAACCAGGTAAAATCCATCTCCATCCACATCATTTTTTAGAAAGCTGCCTGTAGATATATTCCCAGAGAGCTTGTAAATCTGTGTTAGTGATATAAACAGCCGAGCACCCATGAACTGTTTTAGATTACACCTCCCATCAGCATGTTTCCATGCTTGAAACTACATATGTAACACATTGTTGCCTGCAGGAGGGTTTGTCTTCTGCCAACCTGGAGCTCTGTGCAAGATGTGAGATCCAGCACTGATTGTGGAAGCCAAAACATCTCAGATGGCAAATAACAAGCAAGGCAACCTGAGAATAACAATAGGTGTACATTGATGTTGCACCTCATGAGAGCTTTTTGCAAATTTTCAGATTTATGTGAATCATGTGAGGACTGGAAGCTTTTTTAAAAGTGAAAGTTCAGGTTTCCATGTCCGAACAGATTCCATACATGCATGATCATGTTCTGCATAACTTAGAAGTACAGGGTGATTAAAAAAGAATGGCATGGAAGTAAAGCTGTTCTCAATCAGTTTTGTACCATTGTTTTTTAACCACCTTGCATCCTATTGCTAACCTCAAGTTCTATGTAAATGTTAATAGAGCACCAGGTGTACAAAATCTTTGCAACCACCATATAAACTGGAGGAAGAAGTGTTCTACCAATTTTCACCAATCCTGCTCCCATTTAGGTACTCACGCATGATGGGCAGAGCGATGAAAACCAAGAAGGTGGCAGAGCCTTCCAAGAGAGATACCAGGAAGTATGCCAATCCAAGGATGGCAAAGAAGCAAGTGCCAGGGTAATTTCTTCGGAAGCGCCGTACAGGAGCCTTGTTCTCAGCCGCCCAAACAAAGCCCACAAATATCAGAGTGATGAGGGCACCACTCAACAATGTCAGTCCAGGGCAAAAAAACCTACAAGGAAAAGGCAGGATGAAACCTAGAAATTAATTTTCAATTCATTTTCATAGGCATGTCACATATTGTTGTCATAGCAAGACAGATAAGCATCAGCACAGTGGTCATGTTGGCTGTGGGAGTAATTTCTTAAAGCTCTGTATATTAAGAAACCACATCAGTGTAAGTGGGAAGATTTTATCTGACCTGGCAAATGCCTGGATAGTTCTTGCATTTGACTATAATGAGAAATATAAAAACAGTTACAGGTGCTTTTCTCTATGTCAAAACATTATGACATTTGAAGATTAAGTAGTCCTATAGGAAGGATTACACATCAAATTGGAAACAAACAGATGCAGGGGTTAATTTATAGAAGGAGTATTCTAAAGTTTTAATTATCACCTTTAAAGAAAATTGACAGAAAGTTTGTTTTGATTTGTAGTTGTTAACTTATCTCTACGCAGTCACCAACTAGATTTACACATTTTCCCAGCATTTCTTGACCCTCCAAATACTGTTCTTGTAGAAGTGTGCAGATTGCACCTTAAACCACTCTTCCACTTCATGAATGGCATCATCAGTGTTGTCAAATCAGTGACCCCGCAAGGGATTTTTCATTTTTGGGAAAATAAAAAGTCACTTGGTGATGATGACACTGACAAAATTCCATCAATATACCATAATAACTTCCGGATGATAATTATTACTTCACGATACCCCCTCATATTTCTCCATCTTACACTTTAGTCACTTCTGGCACAAGCTGTAACAAAAATAAAGGACACAAAGAGCTAATTTTCTCAACATCATGCACATAGGGATCAATGAGGACACTGACAAAATTTCATCAATATACCATAACTTCTGGGTGATAACTGTTACTTTACGATACCTCCTCGTATGCACCTTTAAAAAAAATCAAGCAGAACTATCTATAAGTTTAATTTTGGGGAGCAGAACTGAAAGAAATGTGCAGATACTACTGCCTTTTCTGAAGTCACCATGGCTGCCATGTTTGGGACAAATGGATACATAGATT